ACGAGGCGACGCCATGAGGTTCCCATGGGCCTCAACACCTGACTAGCAACCTTGAACTGCTCTTCCCTCTCACTACATATACCCCGCCACTCCTGGTGCCCAAAATCGAGCACCATGGAGGCCTGCTCGAAGACAACCTTGCGACCCTGATCACCAGACAATACAGAAAGATTATGCGTGCACGACTCGTTCATCTTGGAGCGCAGCGGGCCCATGACATCGACATTGTGCTCGGACCCCTGCCCTGGTGCATAGAACGCCATGCGGTGAAATTCACCAGTAACCGTCTCGCACTTGAATACAAAGTTGAAGAATATTTGCTGCGGACGCTGTAGGGCCAGCACCCTCTGATGAGATACGCCAGCGGGGTCCTTTTCCATGTAAGCAATCATCAGGCCAGCCTTCGAACGACCGACCAGAAGCACCCGAACGTCATGCCGATGCTTTGCACCGAGACTCCATGGGTGATTGCCAGTGACTGTTTGCTTGCTTGCTCTATCCCCGCCTGTGCGTTGGCTGGCGTTTTCGTGGGGGTTCTTTTCGGCCGTGAGGCTCAGGGCTTTTACGGCTTGAGAAAAAAACACATGTAGCCCGTTTAATCGTAACGGTATTTTTGAACGCCAGATTTCAGACAGCTGTTTTGCACAAGGATTTCATGGGTGATTGCTTGCTTGCTTGTCCCTCTGCTGCCACCGCTCCTCCTCCCTCCCCAACCAGCCTGGGAGCCTGGCGGAGGGGGGGTGGCGAGGGTATGGCATTGAGGGTTTAGGCGAACTCACCGTTAATATTAAAACGACTACGGGGCTACATGTGTTTGGTTCGTTCATAACATAAGGGCCCTGGCGGCCGAAAAAAGCCCCGCGGACAGGCAGCCAACCCACATAGATCGAAAGCAGAGGGGCGACGAGGAGGAGGAGGAGGAGGAAGAGCACGAACAAAGGCGTTGGGGGTGCTTCCAGCCGATCGCCGATCGCTGCCTTCACAGTTTGCCTCGTAGAAGCTTGAACTTCATTCAGGGCGCCAGCTTGAACGAGAAGCGCTTGGGCATCGCGGATTTCTGCGGGGGAGTAGGCCACGCGGAGACTCCGATACAAGACATCGTGTTGAGCCCGACCCCTACAGCACCATGCGTTTGCTTTCTCCATGTGTGTCCAACGGTACTCCAGAGCCAATGGGCAAGTTGCCCCGACAGACAGCTTGATGGCCGATGTGATTCTTGCAAGTGCCGACGCCCTCGACCTCCCGCACAGACAATCGGGAGGGCACCAGTGGAATATTCGTTCGCTAGTCCAGTCGCCATTGTCGTATCTTAATATCTCAAGCTGCTGTTCATCAGTTAACCCGTGGCCCGTCATTGTCAATATGTTCCGAGAATAATTTTGCCATGCATTGAAATTGTCTGGAAGGGCAACGACTTGGCGAAACTCAAAGCTCGACGCGATCACTGTCTCCAGCGCGCTCTCATACCTTGTCGAAGACCTCCACGACTGACACAAATGGCCGCACCGAATGACGAACGAGGACAGCCCTGGATAATGATTCAAGATTGGCTTGAGGCTCAAAACACAACAGTGCGCTGCGCAGTTCAAGCTGAACACGGTCGGTACTCCATCAGCCAATATTTGTTCCCCTCGTCGAGCGAAGTCTTGTCGTGCACTATCAAAGCCGACCTCGCATTTGGCCACCAAGTTACTATTCACAACATTCGCATCTCGAACCATCGTCAAGTTCTTCCACCTCGGGGTTCTGAGAACTTCAATAAGCAGGCCATCGTGATCTAGACTTGTTCCAGGACGCACGGCGTCATTGCAAAGCGTCCAACGACGCCATCTGTCTAAGACTGTGCTATAATTTGCTTCTGGCATTACCTGGGCTGGTGAAATGATAGAGACGCCCGCAGCAGATGATGGACCTGGGCCACACAGCTTGAACACCGACTCCAAAAAGTTAAGGACTGGAGCATGGACCATGCCGCCCTTCGGCGCATGCTTCTTCAGAGCTGGACGGGCTGCAGCTGGCGCCGAATCGACCATGTCATATTCTCGACGTCGTCGTGAGACCCACATGGACGCATCGTCGAGCACATTCACAAACTGGAGGGCACCAGCGCCCTCTGAGAGCCAATGCTGCAGTCCAGATGCTTGAGCGGCAGCGTGGCTCACCAACAATGTAGAAAGATCTGACCTCTGAGTCCTGTACCTGTCAAGCCCAACTGTAGCAACATTGCCGCTGCGGGTAGTGACGAACAACGTGATATCCTTCGCTTGTTCATGTGAGAAGCTCTGACCACCTGACATAAGATCTGCAACCATTGTCTCCGCCCGCAGCCTGACTCGTCGGGCGAGCTCATCTCTGCCAACTTGCACACACTTCGTCCGACATGCGAGTTGCATCCGTGCTCTCGTGAAGTCAGAATGATGAAAACCTGGAGATCGCCCTCGTCGGTCGCCGCGGCCTCCTCCTCCTCGGCCCCGGGCGCGGCCGCGAGCTCGGCCGCGGCCGCGGCCTCCTCGGCCGTCGGCGGCTGCGGGAGCAGGCGGCGGTGCCGCTGCAGCAGCTGGCCCTATGGGCGGCGCCGCGGGGCCATGCTCTGAAAGTTCCTCTGCCAAGAGATCCGCGAACATTCGTTCATCACAAATCAGAACTGGGCCAAAATGGCCTCTTAAGCCAAAACGGCTACGGAGGATTGTGCATGGCTGTTTTTTGGGGGTGTTGTGTACTTTTTCACGTGATTAAGGGGGTCGGGGAGCACCGAGCGGGTTGCCCATGAAAACCCTTTTGCGGAGGAACGCCAATTGACGCACGACGAAGTGAAGAAGGGACGGAAGGGAAGAAGGATACATTACCAATAAGAGGGGGAACGAAGCACGGCACAGATATCGGAGCCGTTGGTGGACGCTTATCTTCTTTCCATCGCCAAGTATCCCCCGTTCAAGCTTGAAGGCCCCAGGGCTACCAAGGGGAATGGGGGTCGTCCCAATTCTCCCCAGGCATAACGCGTCCGCGACCGCAACAGCTAAACATATCGATACATAACGAAGGTTAGGCAAGTTAGACCCTCTGGCAGCCACAATCTTCCGCGTATGCCACACGGACCGTATTTCGGGCAGCCCTTCGGGCAGGCTCAGAACACCCTATTTCTCTGATTTCATTAAGTGCAACCGATGCCCCTTACAACCTCGGTGTCAGCCTCAGGCTGCCTCAGCCTCAGCCTGCATCAGCCTCAGCCTCAGCCTCAGCCTGCCTCAGCATCAGCCTGCCTCAGCCTCAGCCTCAGCCTGCCTCAGCCTCAGCCTCAGCCTGCTTCAGCCTCAGCCTCAGTCTGCCTTCAGCCTCGGCCTCAGCCTCAGCCTGCCTCAGCCTCAGCCTGCCTCAGCCTCAGCATGCCTCAGCATTCAAAATGTGGCCCGGGAATGGAGTTCTGGGAACTCGAAGAACACGAAGTGGCCTACAGTTGGCTCCGGGCATTCAAAATCATGCCCAGGAATGGAGTTCTGGGAACTCGAAGACCACGAAGTGGCCTACAGTTGGCTCCGGGCATTCAAAATGTGGCCCGGGAATGGAGTTCTGGGAACTCGAAGAGCACGAAGTGGCCTACAGTTGGCTCCGGGCATCCAAAATGTGGCCCGGGAATGGAGTTCTGGGAAATCGAAGAGCACGAAGTGTGTGACTGTTGCATCCGGTTATTCAGAATGTGGCCTGGGAATGGGGTTCTGAGAGGTCGACGAGCACGAAGTGTGTGACTGTTGGTGAAAAACGAGCCCGGCACAGGCCCGGCCGGCAACTCCCAACGCCTGCCCGGACCCCCCTGTGGAGTGATCTGTGAGCTCTTTTGAGTAAACTAGAAACCTATCAGTCTACGCTGTTAGGTAAAAACACACACACAATTATCCCAGGATTCTCCCAATATTTCCCATACCTTCTCGAGACTCGTCTTCCACTCCACTTCCCATCTTCTCCACACCTTCCCTGAAATAGACGACTATTTGTGCCTGTGTGTGCGTCTGTGTGTGTCTGTGTCTGTGTCTGTGTGTGCCTGTGGCTGTGGCTGTGCCTGTGTCTGTGTCTTTGTCTGTATCTGTGTGCGTGCGCGTGTGCGTGTGCTCTGTGTGCGTGCGCGTGTGCGTGTGCGTGTGTGCGTGTGTGCGTGTGTGCGTGTGTGCGTGTGTGCGTGTGTGCGTGTGTGCGTGTGTGCGTGTGTGCGTGTGCGAGTGTGCGAGTGTGCGTGTGCGAGTGTGCGAGTGTGCGCGTGTGCGCGTGCGCGTGCGCGTGCGTGTGCGTGTGCGTGTGGGCGTGTGGGTGTGTGTGTGTGTGTGTGTGCGTGTGCGTGTGCGTGTGCGTGTGCGTGTGCGTGTGCGTGTGCGTGTGCGTGTGCGTGTGCGTGTGCGTGTGCGTGTGCGTGTGCGTGTGCGTGTGCGTGTGCGTGTGCGTGTGCGTGTGCGTGTGCGTGTGCGTGTGCGTGTGCGTGTGCGTGTGCGTGTGCGTGTGCGTGTGCGTGTGCGTGTGCGTGTGCGTGTGCGTGTGCGTGTGCGTGTGCGTGTGTGTGTGTGTGTGTGTGTGTGTGCGTGTGTGTGTTTTGTGTGTTTGCTGCCCAAAGCGTTCTTGGCCCAAGATGTCCCCGGCTTCTCGCGCCGCCTTGGAACCCCCCTGGAGGCCCTCCCCACCTCGACGCGTGCTCGGCAAGCCACAGGGGCCTCCCCCGAGAAGCTGGGGCCACCCTGCGCCAAGACCACCCCTGGGACGCACGGAGACATACTATGTAGTACTATATGTCCTCCTTGGATGCGCGCGTCCAACCCGAACAGATGGTGTACCGATCTTGTAGTGTATCGTTTCCCGAGCGGTGTGGCTGGAAAGCGCCCGCTACGACGCATATACTATAAGATTTCTCGGTGCGCGCGTCGCCCCTGGGAGGGCGACGCACACATAGAAGTAGTATGCTAGGGTGACGCCGAACCTCTGGCAACGCCTGGTCTGAGGGAGCGGATCCCCCGCGGCGCCTCTCGAACTCGGCCGGAACCGCAGCGCCTGAGTGCGGCCCACCTTGCCGTTCGCCGCCGCGCGCGTCGCCGGCACGGTTCGCGGTTCCGTGCGGAACTCCAGCACCACGTACCTGCATTGCGGGGCGTTGGCGGGGGAGGAGGAGGAGGAGGAGGAGGAGGAGGAGGAGGAGGAGGAGGAGGAGGAGGAGGAGGACGACGACGACGAGGAGGAGGAGGAGGACGAGGATGGGGCATCCCCCCGCTCCCCTGCTGCCGCTCTGGGGCAACGAGGTGCTCGGGGCCCTCTGGGGCCACCCAGGGCCGCTGTTAGCCGTGTCTGAGGTCTCTGAGGTGGCAGAAGGATTTGGGGAGAGCAAAAGGTACCGATACCGCTACTCCCCGGACCTCTCCTGGGCTGCGTTCTGACCAGGATGTCGAGGCGAATCCAGCGGTGGCGAGGAGGTCCGCCCAGGAGGCCCAAAAAGGAGAAACGAGCGAAGGGTAGAGGTATGGGGACCTCTTCCTCATATAGGGTTGTGGGGGGACCCGGTCGGAGTGATGGTTGCCATCTTCTGGGGAAGGGCCCGAAAATGCCCAAAAGCCCTGTCGACTTCCCCTTGTGGCGCGCGTTTGGAAGCCCTCTTGCCTGCTGCCACGGGCGCCCTGGAGGCCCCCTGGGCCTCGTCGGAGGGCCCCGGGGACAATGTTGACACTCTTGAGGACCGCCTGAGGTCTCAGGGCGATCATGGGAACCTCTTGGGCCGTCTGAGTGCGCAGCAAGCTCGAAAGGGGAGGACGCGAAAATCCGAAAGAAACTACACAACACTGAAAAAACTTGGCCTCGCGGGGCCTTCTTGGTTGCCCTCTCGGAACGTATTGGGTACTTTTTGGGGCCTCTCGAAAGCTCTTGGGGCCTCCTCTGGGACTCCCACGAAGCCTTTTGGGGGCCTCGCGGGGGCGTCTTGGGAGCATCTTGGGTGTTCTGGGGCGCCTCTTGGGGCCTCGTGGCGGTGTCCCTTGTGGAAATCATATGAATGCAGCCGTCTCTAGGGAAACGAACATGACATAAACATAAAAAACTCGGAGGTCCGCGCGGATTTCTCGGATCGGCGTTGCACCCCCCTCCTTGGCGCGCGGAACGCGTCAAGGGCGGCACCGCCAGGGGTCTCCAGCGCCGATCCGAGAAATCCACGCGGACCTCCGAGTTTTTCTGTTTATGTCATTGTTCGTTCCCCTAGCCTTAGGTCGGGCCTGTCCCCCTGCAGGCCGATTATCGAGGAACAAAAATAAAATTATCCCGGCAAAGCAACCTAACAGCCATGTGTAGGAGCATATCTGGAAGCATTCCCCTTAAGATTCGGATGAGAATCCAGTTGTAGAATTCTGCTGTTCTCGCAGTCGTTGTCGCATTCGCGAGGACAGTCGCAGTGGCAACGGCAGTCGCAGTCACAGCCTCAGCCTCAGCCTGCCTCAGCCTCAGCCTGCCTGCCTCAGCCTCAGCCTGCCTCAGCCTCAGCCTCAGCCTGCTTTAGCCTCAGCATCAGTCTGCCTTCGGCCTCGGCCTCAGCCTCAGCCTGCCTCAGCCTCAGCCTGCATCAGCCTCAGCCTCAGCCTCAGCCTGCCTCAGCATCAGCCTGCCTCAGCCTCAGCCTCAGCCTCAGCCTGCCTCTGCCTCAGCCTCAGCCTGCTTCAGCCTCAGCCTCAGTCTGCCGTCGGCCTCGGCCTCAGCCTCAGCCTGCCTCAGCCTCAGCCTGCATCAGCCTCAGCCTCAGCACGAAGCGACCCAGCTAGAAGGACAAAGCGCTGAATGTACACCGATGTGTTCGACGACTGCGTATGTAATGATGTGACGATATACAGACTGAGCCCTTCGTGAATGTCTACATGTTCCCGGAAATTCCCGGAAAGGGCTCCGGCCCAGGGTTCTCTTTTAGTAGGTAAACCTAGTCCCCCGGTGCCTGCTTGAAGGAGGCCGGCGAATTTTTTCCCTGATAAATAACGAGGTCGAAGGAGGCCGGCGAATTTTTCCCTGATAAATAACGAGCCCGAGAATTAAAATTTGAGGATGTCTCGAGCGAAACGCTTGTTTTTGAGGCCGGCGAATTAAAATTTGAGGATGTCTCGAGCGAAACGCTTGTTTTTCAGAATTTGTTGAGGATGTCTCGAGCGAAACGCTGGTTTTGCAGAGTTGGGGATGTCTCGAGCGAAACGCTTGTTTTCAGAATTTGTTGAGGATGTCTCGAGCGAAACGCTTGTTTTGCAGAGCCGACCGCGACGCGGAAAAGCGCCCCGCGCGAAGGAATTTCGATGATGTCTCGACTAATTCGTTTGTTTTTGTACGATTTCCTGGAATTTTGGCAGGATGTCTCGAGCGAAATGCACGACCCCACCCTAGCACGACCATACCCCAGCACGACCACACCCCAGCACGACCAGACCCCAGCACGACCCCACCCCAGCACGACCCCACCCCAGCACGACCATACCCCAGCACGACCACACCCCAGCACGACCCGACCCCAGCAAGACCACACCCCAGCACGACCACACCCCAGCACGACCACACCCCAGCACGACCACGCACGACCACGCCCAGCACGACCACGCCCCAGCACGACCACGCCCCAGCACGACCACCCCCCAGCACGACCACCCCCCAGCACGACCACCCCCCAGCACGACCACGCCCCAGCACGACCACCCCAGCACGACCACACCCCAGCACGACCACACCCCAGCACGACCACTCCCCAGCACGACCACACCCCAGCACGACCACACCCCAGCACGACCACACACGACCACACCCCAGCACGACCACACCCCAGCACGACCCGATCGATAAATCACAGGGTGCGGAGCACCCCAGCACGAACCCACCCCAGCACGACCCCACCCCAGCACGACCCCACCCCAGCACGACCACGCCCCAGCATGACCACACCCCAGCACGACCACACCCCAGCACGACCACTCCCCAGCACGACCCCACCCCAGCACGACCCCACCCTAGCACGACCACACCCCAGCACGACCACACCCCAGCACGACCCCACCCCAGCACGATCACACCCCAGCACGACCCCACCCCAGCAAGACCACACCCCAGCACGACCGCACCCCAGCACGACCTTACCACAGCACGACCACACCCCAGCACGACCACGCCCCAGCACGACCACGCCCCAGCACGACCACGCCCCAGCACGACCACGCCCCAGCACGACCACGCCCCAGCACGACCACGCCCCAGCACGACCACCCCCAGCACGACCACCCCCCCAGCACGACCACCCCCCAGCACGACCACCCCCCAGCACGACCACACCCCAGCACGACCACTCCCCAGCACGACCACACCGCCTTGGTTGAGTGGTTGCCTGTCGTCGTGGAATGTTTCGTGGGGTGTCTCGTGGAATGTTTCGCGGGGTGTCTCGTGAAATGTTTCGTGAGGTGTCTCGTGGAATGTTTCGTGAGGTGTCTCGTGGGCTGTTTCGTGAGGTGTCTCGTGGGATGTTTCGTGAGGTGTTGCCCAGTTGGGTATCATGAAAACGTGTCCATGCTCCACATGTCTATATCCCTTTCCGGGTTCGTGGGTCCATCATGTTTTTCTGACGCCTACAAACGGCGCTGACGTGTGTGAGAAAATTGTCCGCGCAGCAAAAGCCGGCGAAGCGTGCGGGAGCTCGCATGCTGAGACAGACTACGTCTGCAGACCGCCAGCTGCAAAAAGTTGCGAGCGGCTCTTGGAAGATGTTTACGGAACGGAGCTACGGTGTCTGAAAACATTGGCATCGAAGGGAAGAGCCTCGGAGCCCTGCAACCTGAGAAACACCGCAGGAACTCGCATACTGAAAAGGAATGCATTGCAAACCGCACGCTGCGAACCCTGCAGGCTGAGAAGCACCGCAGGATGTCGCATGCTGAAAAGCACTTGTACTGCAGAGCGCTAGCATCTATCTCGGGCTCGGACCCCCCCGTCCTGATCCAGAACGTGTCCGGCCACGGCCTGAAAATGCCGTTCCAACTCCCGAGGATCAGCTGGCACTCCGGCTCTGGGACACTCCAGTACGTCTTGAGCACCTTGAGCCAGGCCCCATCTCGGGATCCCCACAGCACGCTGTACTTGACCGAGACCGTGCCGAACTCATAACAATTGACCTCCGAAGGACCTGCGAGTGCAGGCTGAGAAACACCACGCGATTGCAGGGCACGGCATTGCGTGTCACATGAGTGCAGGCTGAGAAGCACCACATCTCGTTTGCCAGAGATCACTCCCAGGTTATTTGATCCCGCAACACCAGCCACGGCGTAGCTGCCACAGGGGCCGCAGATAGCAACGGTTCGGTCACCCAATTGGCGTTCCGGTGAGTCACAATTCGCGCGTGGCTCCACGAGCCTGTGTAGCGCGATTTGCGGGGCACCAGTGTGCTGTAGGTGTTGTTGCCGTAGCAGAAGACGGCCTCTGGAGCCCAGTGCGGATTCCAGCGGACAGCGTAGACCCTGTGGACGCCATTGCGGATGACGTCGCGCGCACCTTCGATATGTGCCACCCATCGAAGCCAGTCAAATGCTGAGCCATCGGTGATGTCAACAGCACCTGGGGCAGTCTCGCCATGGTGGTAGTGCAACAGCGATTGGAGAGCGGCGCTGGCTTCGTCGCGGCCCACAATCTGGCGCGAGCAGGCTGCCTCTTGCAGGTGCTCCTGTGTGAAGAGCAGTGGGGCATCACCGCCAGTCTCGGCAGGCTGAGCAGCGCCACCGTCAGGCACGGCAGTCTGAGCAGCGCCGCCACGAGGAACATGAGGCTGAGCAGCGCCAGGCTCAGGCACGGCAGGCTGAGCAACGGCGCGTGGTGGACCGACATAGGTGGGCTCATCGGGTCGGCCGTTCTTATGGTAATGCAGGCGCATGGCTGAACCGTCTGCACGACGGAACTCGAAGAAGTGCCTGCCGTGGCCATCCGTGTTGGAGTAGTTAGGGTCGCGCTCTGTCTCGATGATGCGAAAGAGAACCTGGGCGATGCCCTGCCCGATTATGCGCTCAGCGAAACCCGGAGCGGCAGACCGAAGCAGTTGCTTCCAGTCGTAGGACGGGTCGTTTGTTACGTCTTTGAACGACAAGTTGTTGA